TTCACTTTAAATCTGTTTTTCAGTTGTTTTATCCCATGTCTGCTAACTAGGTAACAATGCTTCAGCAGCTGATGCAGTTTCTCAGAGAAGTGTCATCATCTTAGTAAGTCCAGTTAAGAAGATACCTGTTATATAGATGCACAATAACTAGGCCTTAAAAATACTGAGAGGATGGATGGAGAAATGACTCAGCTGTTAAGAGTGCTTGGGGCTGGAGAGATGGATCAGTGGTTAAGAACGCTGACTGTTTTTGCAGAAGACCAGGGTTCGAATCCCAGCACCCACATGGCAGCTAACAACTGTCCATAACTCCAGTTTCAGGGGATCTGATGGCCTCTTCTGTCCTCCATGGGCATTGAACTACATGGGTGCACTTACTTACATGCAGGCATAACACTCATACACATTTTTTAAAAAAAGCTTACTGCTCAATCAGAGGGCCAGAGTTCAGACTCCAGCACCCAAATTGGGTGGCTTATAAATACTTCTGACTCCACCAGCTCTAAGGGATCAGATGGCCCTGCACACACACGCATAAAATAATTTTTTGTGCGTAATTTTTTTTTCCTTTTTGATCTTTTTGAGACAGGGTCTCCCTGTAGCCCCAGCTGTCCTGCAACTCGCTATGTAGACAAGGGTGGCCTTGAACTCACAGAGATCCGCCTGCCTCTGCCTCGCAAGTGCTGGGATTAAAGGCGTGCGCCACCACACCCGGCTTGTATGTAATTTTTCGAGACAGGAGCTCCTTATAGCCCCAGCTGACCAGGCTAGCCTCCATCTCAACAGAGATCCACTGTCTCTGCCTCCCAAGTGCTGGAATTAAAGGTGTTTGCCACCACAGTCAAGCTCTATTTATTTTAAATGACCATTCATGATACATCCTGGATTAATGGAAAAGGGATCAAACACTGACCAAAAAATTTAACACATTATTGTATTTTACCTTAGATTGGTACCAATGTTTCATTCATGTTTCTTTTCTTTTTTTTTTTTTTTTTTTTTTTTTTTTTTTTTAAAAAAAAAAAAAAAAAAAAAGAGGATGGAATTAGCTATGTAGACCAGGTTGGCCTTGAACTTACAGAGATCCACCCGCCTCTCCCTCCCGAGTGCTGGGACTAAAGGCGTGCACCACCATGCCTGGCTCATGTTTCATTTTAAATGAATCTTTCAGTTTGTGTATAAATGTTAAGTAGGAAGTTAGGATAAGAGAGAAAAATATGAGTCTTTATAATCTTAAAACCATTATATAGCATTCTAAACTTTTAATTAGTGTCTATATTTGATATAATTGAAATGATAGTTTGTACTTTTTTTTTTTTTTTTTTAGTTTGTACTTTTTAATTTACTATTATGTGCGTGCCTGTGTGCACGCACTTCTAACTGCTTAGCCATCTCTTCAGCTCCTTTTATTTCTTGGTATTTTCTGGATGTAATTATGGCATCAATGTTATTTTTCTCTATATTTAGGAAATTTGACACTTAATATGCCAATCTGGAATTTTTGTGACTTAAAACTTCCCTTGGGCAGGTGAAATGGCCCAACAGATTTAAAAAAACTCTGCTGTGCCAATATCATGGCCAAATTTGATCCCCAAATATCACAGTGAAAGGAGAGAACTGACTCCTGAAAGTTGTCCTCTGACTTTGACAAGTACACCCACATTCTCACACACAATAATAATAAATACATTTAAAAAATTTTAACTTTTTTTTGAGACAGGCTCTATTTAGCCCAGGCTAGCCTGCTTAACTCAGAGATCCATCTGCCTCTGTCTCCTGAGTGCTGGGATTTTAAGGTGTGTACCACCAAAGTATTCTTATGCCTTTATCCTCACTTAAAACAAAGATTTAATTTTATTATTTTTAATAATGTGTATTTGTTTATATGTGGGTATGCACATGTGAGTGTAGGGGCCTGTGGAGGCCAGAGACATTGGACTTTCATGGAGCTGGAGTTTTAGGTGGTTGTGAGCAGCCAGACACAGGTGCTGGGAACCCAACTGGGATCCTCTGCAATAGCAGTATGACTTTAACCACTGAGCCATTTCTCCAACCCCCATATATATGTACATATACATATTAATTTAGTTCCCCTTCCTTTGAAGGTGGTCTTAGGTAGCTAGGCTGGCTTGAACTCATGGCCAATCCTTCCTCAACCTCCCTAGTGCTGGATTATAGGTATGCCAGTCACCTCTGGCTATTGTAATGTCCTTTAAAACAAGTTTACAAAGGTGTTATTAGGCTAAAGGATGTAAATTCTTTTAAGTGTTCTATAAATCATGTTAGTTTGCTTCCCTAAAAAGCTTGTATGAGTGTTTGCCCAGTGCATTAGCAAGCCCATTTCTTCCATTCTCTCAGCAAAATGGAATGTTATCTTTTTTGTTGTTGTTGTTTTTTTGGCCTTTTTGAGACAGGGTCTCCCTGTAGCCCCAGCTGTCCTGGAACTATGTAGACCAGGCTGGACTTGAACTCACAGAGATCCGCCTGCCTCTGCCTCTCAGAGTGCTGGGACTAAAGGCGGCGCCACCACGTTATCTTAAAAGCCAATAACAAAAACCCCTTTCCTAACTTGATACAATGTTATTTTAATTTACATGCTAGTAAGTTTTTAAACATTGTTAATGAATTTTATTAAACTTTATTCATTTTTCTCAATGATTTTATGCATTTATGATCTGTTCAGGCGGTTATCCTATTACTAAATGTGTGTATGATTTAAGAGTAATTAGCATAGAGTAGATGATGTCAGAGGCAAAGGATTTTTAAAGAAAGTAATGTAGGGGAACTGGAGAGATGCTGCTCTTGCACAGGATCTGGGTTCAATTCCCAGCACCTATGTGGTGACTCATATCTGTAGCTCCTGTTCTAGAGGATCTGACACCCTCTTCTAGCCTCTGTGGGCATCAGGCATGCATGTGGTGCACATACATACGCGTGGGTAAAACAGTCATATAGTTAAAAAATCTTTTTGAAAAAACAGGAGAATTGAGTCCAGAAGACAGCCTTCGAAAAAGTGGTTAAAATGCCAATAAAATAAGTATATTATGGTTTAGAAGTTAAGAAAAGAGGGATCAGGGGCTAGAGAGATGGCTCAGCGATTAAGAGCACTGACTGGTCTTGCAGAGGCCCTGGTTTGATTCCCAGCACCACATGGCGGCTATGAACCATCCTTAACTCCAATTCCAGGGGAATCCGAAGCCCTCTTCTGACCTCCGCAGCATTGCACGACACGGGTGCACTCACATACATGCAGGCAATACACTCATACACATAAAATAAAAATATTTTTTAAAAGGGATCAGATTTTTTTTACTTTTAAATGAACCTTATATTGTTATGAAATAATTTAGTTAAGTAATTCACTAATATTACTCAAATTATTTTTATATTTTAAGTATGTTCTCAGCTAAAGTGATTGCAATGGCTGTCTTCTAGTTTGAATTTTTCAAAGTGTTGACTGTTACATTCTTTTAAAAAATTACACATTTTGGGGCTGGAGAGATGGCTCAGCTGTTAAGAACACTGACTGTTCTTGCAGAAGACCTGGGTTCAAATCCCAGCACCCACACAGCAGCTAACAACTGTCTGTAACTCCAGTTCCAGGGGATCCAACAGCTTCTTCTGTCTTCCGAGGGCATTGCACGACACGAGTGCACTTACCTACATGCAGGCAGTACACGCATACACATAAAATAAAAAATAAATTTTTTAAAAAAAATTTATACATTTTGAAACACAAAAAGCACAAAGTAATATTTGTGTATTCACCAGTTGCCTAAGGGTGGTGGTAATAGGGGAGAGCAGGGTTAGAGCAAGGCCCCTTTGGGAACCTTTTTCTGGTTGTGGGTTGTGCTCATCTCTCTCACTTAAATTTTTTCTTTTTAATTTTGCTGCCTGTGGAGGCCATAAGAGGGTATTGGATCTCCTGGAACTGGAGTTAGATGGTTGTGAGCTGCCATGTGGATGCTAGGAACTGAACCCAGGTCCTCTGTAACAACAGCAAGGGTTCTTAACCTCTAAGCCATCTCTCCAGCCCCTTCTACTTACCTTGAAGCTGATATTTTTGATTACTATACTTCATACGTATGTTTTACAATGTGGAATTAAGATTTTTTTCTTAATTTCTACAATTGAACTAATATTTGTATCTATGGAAAAGTGAAATATATTGTGTCATACTATTCTTTTCACTTAATCTCTGATCACCAGTTTTAAATTCTCTTTTTGTCAGTTCCATGCTTGGTTTAATCCAGTATTCTGCCATCTGTGGTTCACAGAACTCAGAAATTGCAGGATTTTAGAACAGTAGTTGAATTGTAGGGTGGAAGGGTAGAGCACAGGGAAGAGCAAGAGAACAAAAACAAATGTAGTAATCAGATTTTTTCCAAAGCAGCTGCACAGTGTAAGTCTGCACAGCACTAGTGGTGGGTAGTGTCTTGTATAGCTGGAGTTGCTGATCTAACTTAGTAAAGAATGGAAAAGGCTGCCAGGGCTGGTAGGACATTGCTATAATCCCAGCACTTGAGAGTCTGAGGCAGGAAGAAGAGTTGTCTCAAAAAACAACAAAAATTGCGAGACAAAAATATTGTTGACTCATTTGTGCAGAGTACATGACTCATGTAAAATAAAAACATTTGCAAATAAAAACAAAAGCTGACACAACTTGATTCAGACAAAAGTGAAAGGCAGCAAGTTAGTTCTCCAGATTGCATGCCTGCAGAGTATAAGTAGAAAATGAATAAAACTGAGTGAATCTAGAATGCTCTGTGGTTGGATCTGGGTTGGGCTGTGGTCATAGGTCTTCCACTAACTCCTTAAGTGAGTTCATAGTCTGCCTTTGGGTCTCTTTCCTGATACTTCTGAAACAGGGTAGTAGACCATATCTCTTAAGATCTTTTATTTCTCAATTTGATTCTATTGTTTAAGTTATGAATCTTAAAGTATGAGAAATTTCTTAAAGTTTGTGGCTTACTAAGTTTTCTTAAAATTTTAAACTTTAGGGAAGACCTACAAGGAATTTGCATAAGACAGCTGTGCAAAATGGTGCTGGAGGAGCCTTATTTGTGGTAAGTAATTGGGATCTTCCTTATGGAAAAAGAGACTTGGGAATTTGAGTGAGTCCACTGTAGTATATAAAATATTTGGGGGTATGTTATTGCTCAGTAATACAGTTCATGCTTAGAGTATGCAGGACTCTGGGTTCAATCTCCAGCACTGCAAAGAAAAAAAACCCAAACTTAAATACTTGTGACTTTGGCACAAGTACAGCTTATTAAATTCACTACATTTCAAATGATGTTTGGTTCCAGTTGTACCTCTCATATATAAACTAGCACCTAGGAAACACTAAGAATAAGAATTTAGGGGTTTTTTGGGGGGGTAAAATTGCCCTAACCTGATGGTGATCATTTTTGGTCTTAAAAGTCAGTCATGGGGCTGGAGAGATGGCTCAGTGGTTAAGAGCACTGACTGCTCTTGCAGAGGACCTGGGATCAATTCCCAGCACCCACATGGCAGCTATGCACCATCCTTAACCCAATTCCAGGGGAATCCGAAGCCTTCTTCTGACCTCCGCAGCACTGCACGACACAGGTGCACTCACATACATACAAGCAATACACTAATACACATAAAATAAAAATAATAAATAAAATATCTTAAAAAAAGAAAGTCAGTCATGATGGCTGGATGGAGGTACTGAGACTGTACCTTGAGAAATCCTAAAATGGCATTAGTTTGAAGCTCAGAGATTGTAATAATGTAGTTAATAATGTTACTACATAATAAACACATTAGTATATGAAACAGTATTCATATTTTTGTTTCCAGAATTTAACTACAAGTAGTGTCTAAATTCCCCAGTTTTGTTGCTTAGGTTGCAAGTTATTATGTCTGATACGATAAAATTTTTAGGAATTAATCTAGTGTTTGTAGGCAATGTAGTAAACTTATATGATGATTTAGTGTTAAATTGGTACTTTATCCCCTTTGCATAAAAATGTCAATTTGGCCATACATTTGAAAGTATAATCCAAAACTTCCATTTCTGTCCCTGTTTTGGTTGATGTCTTTATATTCTGTTTATTTTACTTTTTAGTTTTTGGTCTTTTTGAGACAGGGTCTCCCTGTAGTCCCAGCTGGCCTGGAACTCGATATGAAGACCAGGATGGCCTCGATCTTAGAGAGATCCTACCTGCCTTTCTCCCTAGTGCTGGGATTAAAAGCAAGTGCCACCATGCCTGGCCCCTTTTTAATGTAGACCAGGCTAGGCTTGAACTCATAGATATCCACCTGCCTCTGCCTCCTGAGGGCTGGGATTAAAGCCATGCGCCACCATGCACCTTTTTTATTTTTAAAAAATATTTTTATTTTATGTGTATGAGTGCATTGCCTGCATATAGGTGTGTGCACCCATGTCATGCAATGCCTGCAGAGGTCAGAAGAGGGCGTCAGATCCCCTGGAACTGGAGTTAAGGACAGTTTTTTATTTTTTGAGACAGGGTGTCACACTGTAGCCCAATGAGGCCTGAACTCATGGCAATCCTAGTTTCTTAAGTTCTGGGATTCTTGCCAAACTAAAGCTTCTTTATGTAGGCTAGTTTCTCTTTGTGGAAAACTTGTTGGTTGAACGATTTATACACACACGAAAGAGTAGTGAGTCCTTTTGGATCTCAAGTTTCTTAGACAATCTAATCCAATTGATTCTGGTACTTGTATAGCTGGAGTTCATGCTTAGAATTTTTTTTTTTTATATGTATGAGTATTGCCTGCATGTATGTAAGTGCACCATGTATTGTCGTGCAATGAGGCATGAAAGGCAGAAGAGGTCATTGGATTTCCTGGAACTGGAGTTTCAGATGATTGGTAGCTACCATGTGGGTACTGGGATTCAAACCCAGGTCCTCTGCAAGAGCAGCCAGTGCTCCTAGCTGAGCCATCTCTCCAGCCCCATAGAATTTTTATTGAAACAATTTATGTATATATGTGTTATGTATGATTGTGAGTGTGCCCAAGGAGACCAGAAGAGGACATCAGATCATCTGGAAGCTGGAGTTAGGGGCTGCCCACAACAGCCCTATGTGAGTGCTGGGAACTGAACTCAGATCCTCTGCAAGAGCACCAAGGCACCTCTCCAGCACCCATATTTAGAATTTTACATCTTAATTCCATAAGGTTTCCAACTTATAGTTGGTAATTAAAAAGTTAGTAATTGAACTAGAAGATACTATTGGATGACACGTTTTATTTTGGAACTGAAAGTACTTCTTAATCTTTTAAAGGATGCTTTCTGAAACTGTTCTAAAATTTTAAATTCTACCAACTTTACTTTGGTAAACATAGACATCAAATGTGTATTTCTACTCCTTGCTAGAAGAGTAAGATTGAGATAATGTTGGAATTAAAGTAGAGAGATTAAATGATCAGTAATAGTACTATGTGATGTACAGTGTTATTTGCACTTCAGGGAGAATTTTGCTAATTTTTGAAAACCTTTCCTTTTTTTTGTATAGCACAGAGATACTCCTGAGAATAACCCAGACACTCCATTTGATTTCACACCAGAAAACTATAAGGTACAGGGCTAAATTAACAATATAATTAATTTATAAAATACTCAGTGCTTTCAGATGTATAAAACAGGTGCTTTTTCTTTTAAACAGCGGATAGAGGCAATTGTAAAAAACTATCCTGAAGGGCATAAGGCAGCAGCTGTGCTTCCAGTCCTGGATTTAGCCCAAAGGCAGAATGGATGGTTGCCCATCTCTGCTATGAACAAGGTACTGAATTAATTTCTGTCTTAGGAAAGAGATATGTGATAACTTCCTTCTATAGAAATCACCATGATAATCATTAATGTCAGAATTCAGGAGTTTGAAGCTCTTAAGTCATTTATATTTCTTAGAATTGTATTTATGCTTTTGTTCCTTTAATGTAGCTTCCATTCTTGTAGGACATAGGCATCATGGTGAAAGAGATTTTGTTTTTTTTGTTTTTTTTTTTTTCTTTGTGGGAAATGGTCATAAAGAAGATAAAAGAGGTGCTGGAGAGATGGCTCAGTGGTTAAGAGCACTTGCTCTTGCAAGGACCTGAGTACAGGTTTCCAGCATCCACATGGCAGCTAATAACTGTCTGTAACGCCAGTTAGGTGGACCAGTGGCCTCTGAAGCATTGCATGCATGTGATGCACTTATACACATAAAATAAAGTTTTAAAAAACTTTTAAGGCTGGATATGGTAGCACACACCTTTAATCCTAGGAGGCAGAGGCAGGCAAATCTCTCTGAGATTGAGGCCAGCCTGGTCTACATAGTGAGTTCCAGGGCCAACTGGGACTACAGGGAGACCCTGTCTCCAAAAAAAAATTTAAAAACATAAAAGAGCTTAAATGTGTATGATTTAGTATCAAGATAGTCTGAAAATTAATGCAATGTTTCAATACTAAAGTGAAGGGACAATAAATACCTTACAAAGTGTGAATCTTTTTTTATTTTTATTTTTGGAGGTGGGGTCTCACTATGTAGCCCTGGCAAGCCTGAAACTTTCTAAGGAATGATTTAGGTAGTATTTCTGTAGGTTTTGTTTTTAGGTATATATTTCTAATCATAGTTTTAAAAATTATTTTGTTTTTAATGAAGGCATGTGGGCTGACAAGGTGGCTCAGTCATTAAAGGCACCTGTAACCACGCCTGATGATCTAAGTTCCATTCTTGGGACCCACATGGTGGAAGGAGAACTGCTTCCACAAGTTTTCTAACTTCCACTGCATATGGCATGTGTACCCCACCCCAACCGAATATAAATAAATGTAATTTTAAAAAGTAATGGCAAGCCTATTAGGAATCTTGTCAAATGGCAAGCTTTACAGAGAAGAATAAAATAAGCAACTAGTGTGAGGACATTTAAAAATTAAAATGCTTTGTGTTATTTAGAGTTGGTGGGGGAAGAAGAGACAGGAAATTAGCTACAAAGAATAGAATTAAGAGCCTTTCCACTTTAAATTTGAACCTTTGAATATTATTGCCATTTCTTCCCTTAAGCCAAGAAACTCCCAACCTTATAGCAAAAAGCCAAGAAGCACAGCCATTATTATATTCCTTACCAGTCACTAAGTATAGGGAAGTGTGCAGCAGAATTCCAGGGAGAGGTTTTCCAAATTAGACAACTAGAGTTTCCAGATTTATGAAACTACATTATCGTGCTCTAGTATATGTGTTCTGATGAGAGTTACCCAGATCCTCTCTAGTTTAGAACTACCAAATCCAATACAATTACTTTCTTTTATAAATAAGCCATGAGAATACATTTCCTTTAGAATTCTGATGAGAAAGTTTAACATATAAACACGTTGTCATCTGAAATGATAATATGAGGTGTTTTATGTCAGAACATAGATAACTGTACAAGCCCCAGCCCCAACAACCATCTAAGAAAGTTTTTTTTTTTTTTTTTTTTTTTTTGGTCTTTTTGAGACAGGGTCTCCCTGTAGCCCCAGCTGGCCTGGAACTCACTATATAGACCAGGCTGGCCTTGAACTTCAGAAGGTGTGCGCCACCACGCCCAGCTAAGAAAGCATTTTTAAAAGAATTTGTTGGAGGGGCTGGAGAGATGGCTCAGCAATTAAGATCACTGACTGCTCTTGCAGAGGACCTGGGTTTGATTCCCAGCCACCCACATGGTGGCTACGAACCATCCTTAACTCCAGTTCCAGGGGAATCCGAAGCCCTCTTCTGACCTCCAAGGCATTGCACAACACAGGTGCATCACATACATGCAGGCAATACATTCATACACATAAAATTAAATAAGCTCTTATCTGTTATTTAATGAACCTCCTCTGTGTGGCTTCTGGTTATCAGGACTCAGGCATCCCCAGCACCCTTAATCTCAACTCTTCTGAAGAATTTGGCCTTCACAACCCAGGCTGCTCAGGGAACTTTCCCTCTACCACAACTTTGTATGTCCACTGCACCACATCAGTGATGGGGGCAGCTCTAGTTTTCTTTTTGGCAGCATTTTACCCTTGTCTGCTCACTGACCAATGTCCATAATTTATCAAGGTAGATAACTGGGCAGAAGCTCTGGTTCTGCTTTATGTGGTAATACTTCACATCAACTTCCCCAAAGTTGTATATTTGCCAAACCTGGGTATTCACCAAAGCTGACCCTGTGGTGATGCATGCATGCCACTAGCATCACATCAGCCTCCAGGGTGCTTCCAGAGTTTGCCAATGCAGTGAGGCTGGGGTTCACATGGTCCCTAAGTTTCCAGGTCTTCCTCAGTCTGAATGGTATGGTGGGGGTCAAAAACCTTGTTTTTATGAGATAAAAATTATTAGATAGGGTCTTGCTATAAAGCTCCGGATAGCCTGGAATTCACTACGTAGACCAGGCTGGCCTTGAACTTCAAGTGATACTTCTGTCTCTGCCTTCTAATTGCTGGGATTACAGCCTCGTGTCACCATGCCAGTCTGAAAACCTTATTTTTCATAACAGTCTTGCCCTAATACAGATATGCTGAGAGTATGTCTCCTTTCTCTTAGAACTAAAGGCTAGGAAATCAACATTTTCTACTAGTTTCCTTGGTTTTAAAGGTGCAGGACTGTTTTTATATGGTCCAGCTTTTTGTAAAAACTATTCTGTTGTGAAATAGTTGTGTTTTAGATTCTTTTGGAAAAAAACATGGTACCTACAAGTAGAATTGTAATCAAATGTGACTCTACCTTCTTTCTGCTACCATACAGCTTTTTCTCTTTCTAGTGTTGAGGATTGAACCTGGGGACTTGGACATGCTAGGCAAATGCTCTACCACTTAAGCTCACGTTTTGGAAAAATTGGTGAACAGCTGAAAAAAAAAATCAAACTTTTTCTTTATTGAGATTTGGCTGTAAAATTTTTGTCATTTACACAATTTAAATTACAAATAATGTAGTAATAATAATCTAAGTTGAAATGATAAGTAGAAATTTATAATGCTTTAAGATTTAGGAAAAAAATGCTATTCTGGAGAGGTGAGGGGGAAGAGTGGAAGGAGGAAGAGAAAGTCATTTTGTTTTGGGGTTTGTTTTGTTTTTGAGACAGGGCCTCCCTATAGTATCCATAGCTGGCCTGGAACTTATGTAGACCAGACTGGCCTCTATCTCACAGAGCTTCCCTTGCCTCTGTCTCCTGAGTGCTGGGATTAAAGGTGTGTGCCACCCTGCCAGCCAGGAAGAGAAAGTGATATGACTCCTATAACTTCATTAGGGGCCCTAGTTTTGTATGGCTTAAGTGTACATAAAAAGTACTAGGCTAAGCTGGGAAATAGTGAGACCTTTCTCAAGGGGAAAAAAGAAGAGGGGGTCCTTTATGTAGTGATTATCAGATATAAAGTATTGTTTTTATTTGCTCTTCAGTTTTCTTGTTGATACCAGATTGAGGCAATACTGAAATTATACCTTTTTTTTTTAAACTTTTAAAATTTATGGGGGTGCACATGTGCATGCTATAGCATGTATATGGAAGAGAACAACTTTGTGAAGTTGGTTCTGTCCTTCCATCTTTATGTGGGTTCCAAGTATCAAACTCAGGTCATCAGGCTTACATGGCAAGCAAGTGCTTTTACTTGGTGAGCCATTTTGAAAAATGGTTTCCAATAGTGGGAAACCTACAGAGCAGAGTAAACCAAGTAACTAGTGTGAGAGCACTTAGAACATGTTGTCCTGTTTAAGAGTTCGATTTGTAACTTTTAGTTAATAAACACTGTAATCATCTTCTTTAATTATGTTTTAATATTTTAGGTGGCTGAAGTTTTAAAAGTACCTCCAATGAGAGTATATGAAGTAGCAACTTTTTATACAATGTATAATCGAAAGCCAGTTGGAAAGTATCACATTCAAGTCTGCCCTACTACACCTTGCATGCTTCGAAATTCTGACAGCATACTGGAGACCATTCAGAAAAAGCTGGGTATGGGATATGTTATATTAGAATTTTTCTTAACAAAAAGAGAATTATCTAATAGGGTATGGTGGTAACACTTAGGATGCTAAAGACAGGAGGACTGTAAGTTCTAGGTCACCGTGGGCTACAGCAAGAACTTGTCTCTACAGTCTTCTTCCTTTTACCTCCCCCACAATAGAATTGTCTTTCTAGATCTGACAGTGTTTTCTATCCAGATTTTCCAACTTCTGTTTGCCTATTCAGTTCGTCTAATTTTTCTTATTTGCTTAATTTCTTTCTAGTTTGCATTCATCTAATTCTCAGCCTTGAGCCTTTTTAAAAAACACTTTAAAAATAATTTTTTTGTGTGTATGGGTGTATGTGTATATGTGTACCAGGTGCATCCCTCCTGAAACCAGAGAAGAACATAACTAGAATTACAGATGGTTATGAGCCACAGTATGGGTGCTGGGAACCGAACCGAGGTCCTCTGCAAGAGCAGCAAGTTCTCATAACTACTGGATTGTCTCTCTAGCCCCAAGCCCGAGTTTTTAACATTTCTATTTTAATCATTAAGTATGTTTTCTAGGAATGTTAAACTTTGCATTGTTTAGAAAATGGTTTTACTTATTTTATGTTAGCATGTGGTACATAAAAAAGTGACTGTACTGTCCATGTAGTCTCCCAGAGAAGTCACTGAATATATAACAGCATAGCAGAAATACTTCTTGGGAAGGGAAATTTATTTCATTATTATTATTATTATTATTATTATTACTATTATTATTGTTATTATTATTTTGTCTTTTTGAGACAGGGTCTCCCTTTAGCCCCACCTGTCCTGGAACTATGTAGACCAGGATGGCCTCGAACTTATCTGCCTGCCTCCTGAGTGCCAGGATTAAAGGCGTGTGCCACCCACCACACCTAGCAGGAAGGGAAATTTAAAACAGACTTGGACATTTTCCACACAAAGCTGCCATTGCATTTGTAACTATGTCAAATGAAGTTAAAGTATCTTTTAATCCCCCTCCTCCCCTAGGACTGGGAATTAAACATAGAATATAGCCTTGTACGTTAGAGACAAGAACTCTTAATACTGACTTATATACTTAGCCTGTTTAAAAAAAAAAAAAAAAAACACTTTATTTTGAGACAGGTTTTCACTAAGTTGCCCAGGCTTGAGATCTTCTGGATTCAGTCTCCCAAGGAGTTTATAAGCCTTTATCACTAGGCTTAGGTCCGTGCATTTCACAAATACTTTTGGACAGTATTGAAATATAAAGCAGAAAGCTCAAGGTGGCTCCCAAATCCCAAGGTATAAATCCTAACTGCCTGGTACTTTAGTTATAGATTTTATATCCTTTAATTATTCAGTACATAAATGTATGCTTACATTTTATATTTTGGGCTCTTTCCATAGCAGTGTGTTTACTTCATTTTTCTATTATGAACTGAGTTTTCGGTAGTACTTTCACATACATGTACACTTTGTATACTTGCCCTGTTCTGTGTTCAGGTTGTTTTTGAAGAAGAAAAATTGCTGGGGCTGGAGAGGTGGCTCATCAGAGGACCCAGGTTTAGCCACATAGCAACTAAGAACCACCTCTAACTCAAGTTCCAGGGGATCTAAGACCTTCTGTGGACTTCTGTGGACATTGCATGCACATGATATACTTACATACATACATAAAACATTTATACACATAAAATAAAATTTTTTAAAAAAGAAAAATTGTTGAGCCAGGCTTGGTTTTTTTGTTGTTGTTGTTGTTGTTTTCTGCCAAAATGTCTTTCCTAAATGTAGAAGTGACTCCTTCTTAATAATCTTTGACCTTAAGTTTCCTGAATCTGCCAATCTAATGATATGACTGATAGTAGTCCAGTTACTCTTTTTTTTTTTTTTTTTCCCTGAAATGCCTGGAAGGAGGAGATAAAGAGAGAAAGCCAAGCCTTTTGAGTTACAGATGAAGGTCAGCCATGTGGCAAGGCAAGCAGCTACACCATGGGAAGTAGTTTTATCACAAAGTATAGTCAGATGCACTGTTATGTAACAGTACATACTGAAGATGAGTCTTCATGTAATCTCAGCACTTAGGAGTCTAAGATAGATAGTATTGAGTTAGACGGTGAAAGGAGGAGGGAAGGGAAGGAGGAGATAAGGAAGGGAAAGAAGGAAATAAGTGATACAGTATTATCATGGTAGAATTTTTTTCTTGAAACAGGATCTCAGTATGTAGTCCAGGCTGGCCTTGAACTTGAGATCTTTCTGTCGCTGCCTCCCAAGTGTGCCACCATGCCTAGGTTTTTTTTTTCATTTTTACATAAATTTAATGCACTTAATACTTTTTCTGTAACTCTGTACTATATTATAGATTTTGTTTTCCTTAAACCATATTGCTATTAACCTATTTCTTATAGTGATCATTTATGTTTTTAGGAATAAAGGTTGGGGAGACTACACCTGACAAACTTTTCACTCTTATAGAAGTGGAATGTTTAGGGGCCTGTGTAAACGCACCAATGGTTCAAATAAATGACAACTACTATGTGAGTATTCAACTTCATGTACACTAAAGTTCTATAATATACTTTATATTTTGAATATTTCATTTCATATCCACAGATGGTGATTAATGAGTTACTCATTTAGAAGAAACTATTAATATAAATATCTAGGAGATTTTAAAAGAATTACCTTTAAACATTTTTATATTTTTTTCCAGGATATAATGGTTTTTTTTTTGTTGTTTTTTTTTTTTGTTTTCTAACTTCACTATATAGCCCAGACTGACCTGGAGCTCACTTTGTAGACCAGGCTGGCCTTCAGTTTCTAGACATCTGCCTGTCTCTGCTGGGATTAAAGATGTATGCCATCATGTCTGACTTAGATCTTTTGATTAAGGATAGACTTTAGGCATCTACTTTTAACAACTGCTGGTAATAACCACTATTTCCACCCCAGTGAGTATTTCTTCCAGGATATGGCATTTCTTTAGGTTGTATTTTGACGGTGTTCTACTTCATATGTTTTTTATTTAATGTTCAAAAACAAGTTCAAATTGATTTATAAGTAGAGAAATTTGAGGCTAAGAGAAACTCCTCTAAGATTACTCTCTATTTCGTGGAGGAGCCAGGATGCAAATTCAGCTGCTTCACTTCAAGCACTTAGCCTCTTCTGCTAATGCTCTTTCTTCATGTTATATAATATTGAAGTTAGTTACTGCTATCTTGGTAAATGACTTACAAAATAAGACAGACAATAGATGAGTTAGTTTTAGGGATTTATAAATGTTTCTGAGGTAGACAATAATTTCACTGCTGTAAATTTTTTTTCTAGGAGGATCTGACACCCAAGGATATAGAAGAAATCATTGATGAGCTCAAGTCTGGCAAAATTCCGAAACCTGGGCCAAGGTATGCTTTTATTTAAATATCATAAATTTTAATGGCTTAATCTATATTCATCTTGCATATAAACTTAATTTTCAAAATTTTATACTTGTGTTCATAGGAGTTGACTGGCGAACTGTCTAAACTGATCTGTCATCTAGAGCAAGAATTTTTTTCTTTAAATTCATTAAGATAGGGCTGGGAAAATGACTCAGTAGGTCAAGTACTTGCTGCATAAGTGTGAGGAAGTTCAGATCCTCCAGACCCTGAGCTGAGTGAGTGTGGTGGCTGGTCTGTAATTCCCCATGTCCAGATAGGAAGACGGAACAAACTGGCTAGCCAAACAAGCCAAAACAGCAAGCTCCAAGTTCAGTGAAAGATACTGCCTCAATATATAAGGTGGGAGTGATAGAGGAAGATACCCAGCCATGCCAACACATGCATCCATGTATTTACTGTACCCACACACACCCCATTCACACATACATACATACATACATACATGCAAAAAAATAAGATAATTATCTGTGATCAACCTGAATGTTTATATAGGAGAGTCTTCTACAAATAGAAATTCGCTGTTGCAGGGCTCGTGAGCACTTCTTGCTCTTGGAGAGGACCCGGGTTCAATTCCCAGCACCCACATGGCAGCTAACAACCATCTGTAACTCCAGTTCCAGGGAATCTGAAGCCCTCTTCTGACCTCTACAGGCTTATTTATTATTTTTATGTGTATGAGTTTATTGCCTGCATGTATGTAAGAGCACCTGTGATGTCCAGTGCCCGAAGAGGTCTGAAGAAGGTGTCAGAGTTATGGATGATTGTTAGCTACCATGTAGGTGCCAGAACTGTGCCCTCTTCTACAAGAGCAGCCCATGCTCTTAACCACTGAGCCATCTCTCCAGCCCCCTAAAATTTTTTAAATTATTACTGTGTGATATAGGCTGGAGGATAACTTTGTGGAGTTTATTGTTTCCTTTCTCCTTTACACGGGTTCTAGGTACTGAACTCAGGTCATGAGGCTTTCACAGCAAATGCTTATACCCACTGAGCCATCACAAAGTTATTTTTATTGCTCTTTTTTTTTCTGACACAATTTTAATCTTTTCCCAATGATTGTTCAGTTTCTTGAAATAGCTATCTTGTCCTTCCCCTATCTTTTTGTCAGATTGAATACCCACAGACCTTTCATTGGTTGTCCATATGTGATAGTTTGTTCTCCCTCCTCTGGGTCTTATAGTTACCTTGTGAATTCATTGTGATACTTAAAAATAATCACAGTAAGCCCAGAGTGGTGGTAGATGCCTTTAATCCCAGCACTTGCAAGGCAGAGGCAGGCAGACCATTATGAGTTTGAGGCCAGTCAGAGCTATAGTGAGACCCCGTCTCAAAAAGCTGAAAAACAAAAAAATCCAGTCCTATAATACATAATGACCAACAGACCATATACACAGGTGATATTCTCATAAGATTACAATAAAGCTGAACGATTCCTTTATTATTTCATTCTGGTCTCACTGTACAGTCCAGGCTAGCCTGGAGCTCATTATGCAACCCAGGCTGGCCCCAAACTTTTGGCAATCCGTAAGCTTCAGTCTCCTGAGTACTGAGACTGGGAAGTGAGAGCAGGAAAAAGTCTTCTTAGTTTTTATTTTTTCTGTGTTTAGATACAAATATTTTACATTGTTACAATTGCTTATAGCATTCAGTATAGCTAATATATAGATTGTAGCCTAGGATTGTTTATACCATGTACCAAAGAATATTGAGCTAGCTGTATGTTTGTATGATGACAAAATTGCCCAGTGATGCATTTCAGAGAACATTTCCTCATTGTTATGCAATGCATGACTGTATTTGAGATATGTACTGAGTAATGTGGAGTACTGTCGGACTGCCTCCTTTGTTCTAGACACTAGTCATAGTGCAACCTCAATAAAGTGCTTGCTAGGCAAGCATGAAGAAATGAGTTCAGATCCCCAGCATCTATGTAAAAATGACAGAAACAGTATGTGCCTGTAATCCAAGTGCTGGGGAGGTAGAACAAGTCTGTCTACCTTAGGACTGGTGAGCTCCAGGTTCTAAGAATAAGAATAAGGCGGAGAACATTGTGGAAGATACAAGACCTCACCCTCCGGCCTCCATGTGCTCATGTATACATGTCCATACAAATGCAGCTGGATCATAACAACTCTTACTTTCAGGTACATTGCAGTTCAGGTATACCTGCAGTCAACAAGAATGCCTAGACTTTTTTTTTTTAGCTTATTCACTACCCTACTATACTTGTATCATGCTAGTACTTTCAATTATGAACTTGAATTTTTACTAAGCAAACTTCCATTCCACATGTCCAGTTACTTAAAATTATCTTTTAATACTAGCAGTTTTGTTTTATAAATTATAACTCCTATGCATCTTCTGTTTATGTAATATAAACCTTTCCTTCTTTGAACCCACTTCTAAGTTTTAGTAGTCATAGTACTGGTATTTAGAAATAGCTATGAAATGCTCTTTAGTTGAATTGCAAAGTTATGAGGTACAGAGCAGTTCTGTAATTTTGTTCTGTAGAAGTACTCATCTATTATTTTGTCTGACCAAGAGCCTTATTTAATGAGGTGAATACAATATTTTTTAATTTTAAAATTATGTTTTATTTATTTTGTGTGTGCACGCACATACCATCATCATGTTCATGTGGAGGTCAGTGTACAACTGACCTTCCAAGTGTCCTTCCACAGTATGGGTCCCAGAAATTGAACTCAGATCATAAGTCTTGGTGGTAAGCACCTTACCTGATGAGCCATCTTGCTGGTCTGAAAATAACTTTGTTTTTGAGACAGGGTCTCCCTATGTAGCCTAGGTTGGTGAGGTGATCCTTCTGCTTCAGTCTCCTGAGTGCAGGGATTACAATGAGCCACAATGTCTGGCTACCAACTCTAACTTCTAAGATGGCTTGCTTTCAAGTCACTGATTAACAAGGGCTAGAGAGATGGCTCAGCTGTAAGAGCACTGGCTGCTTGCTCTTGCAGAAGACCCAGGTTCAGTTCCTAGGTCCCACATGGCAGCTAACCATCCTAACTCCAGTTCCAGGGGAACTGACACTCTCTTCTGACCTCTGTAGGCATTGCATGACAGGGGTGCACTTACACACATGCAGGCAATACACTCACATAAACCATAATAAAACATTTTTTAAAAATTACTGATTAAGCCGGGTGGGGTGGCACATGCCTGTAGTCCCAGTACTTGGGAAGCAGAGGCAGGCGGATCTCTCAGTTCCAGGCCAGCCTGGTCTATATAGTGAGTTCCAGGCCAGCTGGGGCTACAGGGAGACCCTGTCTCAAAAAGAACAAAAAATTTAAAAAGTAAAAAAAATTACTGATTAACAAAAGTTCCTAGTGTGGATTAGTATATAACTAATTTTAAATCTAATTTTAATTTTTCATATTAACATTTTGTTATTCTTCACATCAGTGCTGGGAAACAAACCCAGGGTCCTGTGTGCTAGGCAGGTGCTTTGCTACTTAGCTGAGTTACACTTCCAGCCTTGCTTTATATTCATTTTCATGAAGGTATCTTAGGTTTTGTGGAAATTGGTTATGTACAGGTGCTATATAAGATGCAAAAATAGGCTGGGCATAATGGCACACATGCCTTTAATCCCAGCATTCAGGAAGCAGAGGGAGGTGATCTTGATGAGTTGAGGCCAAGCTCGTTTACACAGTGAGTTCCAGGTCAGTCAGGGTTAGACACTGAGACCTTGTGTCAAAACCACCACCACCCACACACCCACATAATGTAAAAAATAGATAACTTGGTTCAGGGAAATTGTTGATTTTAGGCAATAATATCACTTTGCAGTTTTTTAAGATTAAAAATACTAGATTTGTTTCAGCAGTAGTAAAAAGCACTAAACTTGCAAAGATTTCTAGGATGTAAATAAAATGGTGCATATACATATAGTGTTGAAAAGGCCTAGAAACCACATTTTTAGATTTTTTAGAGACAGAGTCTTAGAGCCCAGGCTGTATAGCTGAGGATGTCCCTGACCTCCCTATCTTCCTGCCTCCAACATTACTAAGATTAGAGGTGTGTGTCACCATGCCTGGCTCTTAAGTTAAGACATAATTTGCCACTTAATACTTTTAGGCTCTGACAGATACTATATTGGAATTTTTTTAAAATTTTTATTTAAGTATTTTGTCTGTGTGTATGTAAATGCAACCCAAACATACAATTCCCTCAGAACCAGAAGAGGATGTGAGTACCCTGGAACTGGAGTTAGGGCAAGTTGTTAGCTGCCTTGTGGGTACTGGGAACTGAATCCAGGTCCTCTTCAAGAGTAGCCAGCACTCTCAACTGCTAAGCCATCTCTCCAGCTCCTGAACTTTTTCTTAAGTAGTAAGCAAAAAGATTTTTTATGCAGATGTACTAATTTCTGACTCAGGCATTGCTCATTATTTTTATTTATGTATATGAGTGTAATACCTGCCTGTGTGTAAGTGTACAAGTGTTACTCAGTGCCGGAGGATGTCAGAAGAAGGCGTCAGATTCCCTGAACTGGAGTTACAGACGGTTAGCCAATAACCCAAGTTCTCTGTAAGAGCGGGCATTGCTCATTATAACATATAACTTAGTTGCTTATATATATAGTGATAGCTTGAAAGATTTTTAAAAAATTGATCTTAATTTTATGTGTATGAGTTATGACTGCATGTTTGTAAGTACACCCATGTTGTACAGTACCCACAAAAGAGGGCATCAGATTCCCTGGAGCTGCAGTTACAGATGGTTGTTAGCTACCATATGGGTACTGGAATTCGAACCCAGGTCCTCTGTAAGAACAGCTGTGCTCTTAACTGCTGAACCATCTCTCAAGCCCTTAGCTTGAAAGATCTTAAAAATGATCATACGGTATCATTTTACTGTTCCTTCAAAAAGAAATGAGCCTGGCACCTTTAATCTAACAGTCAGGAGGGACAGGCAGGAGGATCTCTGTGAATTCAAGGTCAGCTAGACTACATAGTGAGATCTTGCTTTTAAAAAAACAAAACAAAAGTCATCTTGTGACTCTAAAAATTAAAGTACATGTAAGTTTACTGGTAGCAAAAGCCTGTTGATTCCAGCACTGTGAAAACCGAGGCAGGAAGATAGAACAAGTTTAGTGCAGGCTACATGGCAAGCTCCTGTCTCATAAAACAGAAAACAAAATGAGAGAATATGAAAAGCCAGAAGAGATTGCTACAAATTTTAGCTGAAGAAATTTATATATTTTCAGAGCCGGGCATGGTGGAGCACACCTTTAGTCCCAGCACTCAGGAGGCAGAGGCAGGTGGATCTCTGTGAGTTCAAGACCAGCCTGGACAGCTCGGGCTACAGGGGGACCCTGTCTCAAAAAGAAGGAAAAAAAAAAAAAAAATCGTAGCAGAGAAAAGGTTAAGGGCTGGGCTGGGAGATGGCTCAGTGGACACACATGCATGCTGTGAAAGCAAGACCTGAGTTCAAATATTTGGCATGCACCTGAAAGGCTCTGTGTGCCTATTACCTCAGCATGGGGGCTGGGTAGGAGAACCCTAACAGATGGCCAGTGAGGCTACCTAGCCTAATCATCAAGCTTTATTTTTTTATTCTTTTTGAGACGGTCTCCCTGTAGCCCCAGCTGGCCTGGCCTGCCTGAATCTCAACAGGTTTGCCTGCCTCTTCCTCTGGAGTGCTGGAACTAAAGGCATGAACCACCACCACCACCACCACCACCACCCCCGCCCCTTAACTCTTAATCATCAAGCTTTAGAAAGTTAATTGATGGACTCTATAAGGAAGATACTGATGTTGCCCTCTGACCTCTGCACAAATATGCACCCCCCCCCATCGAAGCCAAGGAATATGGATGGGGGGTGGGGGGAACAGCATGTAAGGGAAGTGCTGAGCTGGGCTCTAGCATCAAACATCAGACAAAGGCCATTAAGTAAGCAGTTACCTAGAATAGTTTACAGATGAAAAAAGACAGGTTCTTTTGCCTCTGCACTGCCTGTCCTCATAATTCCTCCTTTGGGACCTGTTATTTTCTTCTGTGGCTACAAAAGTTTCTTAGTCTGGAACATTTATTTTTTTATATTTTTGAGTATTTGTTTTGTTTTGTTTTTTTGATGCATTTGGGTACATGCCACGTCAGATTACTGGCTAGTGTCAGTTCTCTCCTTCCACCATGTGGGTTCCTGGAAATTGAACAGGTCACCAGACTTGGCAGCAAGAGCCTTTATTCAATGAGCCATTAAGCCTGCCCTCAAATTCAACTTTAGGAAGAGAGAATCTTGGTATTGATTCATAATTTTAATTAACAGTCTTGGTTCTTCTTGTCAAGGGTTAAGTAAAAATTTACATACCTTAGCTGGGCATGGTGGCTCATGCCTTTAATCCCAGGAGGCAAACAGGTCTGTGAGACTGAGGACAGCCTGGTCTACATAGGGAGTTCCAGGCCAGCTGGGGTTACAGGGTGACCTGTCTCAAAAAAAACACCCCCTCCAAACAAAAACAGGAACAAAAATACCCTTACAAATGTTAATCATTATCACTATAACTTGCTTTTCTTTCCAGGAGTGGACGTTTCTGTTGTGAGCCAGCTGGAGGTCTCACCTCTTTGACTGAACCACCCAAAGGACCTGGTTTTGGTGTGCAAGCAGGCCTCTAATTTATATTCAATTGTAAAGATACCACTGGAAAAATAAAATATGAATCTCCTATCTACATAAACTTTGTTTATTCCCATCTGTACATGTTGGTAGTAATCTAGCAGGCAGCTGTTCAGTGTTATATCAAAATAACAGAGCCCAGTGCTAGTTGAACTAGGAAGACTTGATTATAGTTGAGTTACTCTAGTGCCACCCATAATTTAACCTGCCAGATCATTCATATATACTGGATAGTGGAAGTTCTGCCAAATTTTGAAATATATTTTGCTTTCCCATCTCTAGCCACAACACAAATTTACGTTAACACTGTCTTTCTATATAAGCTTTACTTATGTC